ATTGATTGAATAGAAAAACTAATCCAAAATAAGATTCCTTGAAGAAACATACATTGTATTTTAATGTTTTTCCATGACTTTTTTAGGCTCTCTGTGATATGTTTGAATCTAATATTAGGTTAGTAACATTTTTAGTTGTTTCTCACCTTACTTCTTACCATTGTTTAGTGAGTTTCCATCCCTTCTTCAAGTTCACTCATGGCACAAAAAAATGGTGAATTACTTCATGTAGTTTTCGTTCCGTACTTCACACCAAGTCATATGATCCCTTTAGTTGATATAGCTAGACTTTTTGCTAGTCATGGTGTCAAAGTTAGTATCATCACCACCCCCTACAACGCCCTCCTTTTCGAGTCCTCAATCGATCATGCTACTGAATTAGGCCACGAAATATTCGTCCACAAACTCAAATTCCCATCAGCTGAAGTAGGCATACCTGAAGGGATAGAAAACTTCAGTGCAGTCACTAGCAAAGAAATGGCTATAGGTGTATTTATGGGAATTCCTCTGCTTCAAAAACCAATGGAAAGTCTTATTTTCGAGCTTCGTCCTCATTGCATTGTTTCAGACATGTTTTTCCCATGGACTGTAGATGTGGCAGAGCAACTGAACATACCTAGACTTATGTTTTATCCGAATAATCTTATGTTACACTGTATTGAACATTGTTTGAAGTTGTATACACCTCATGAGAAGGTAAGTTCGGATTCAGAAAGTTTCTTGATTCCGGGTTTACCAGATCAGATTGAAATGAAAAGATCTCAACTTCCAGAAAATGTTATTAAAATCAATCCCAAAGGACCATACTGGGAAATGATGAAGAGAATTAAAGAATCAGAACCTCGGAGCTATGCTATGATTCACGACACTATCTATGATCTAGAGCCGAGTTATGCTGAGCTTTATCAAGAAATCAAAGGTAAAAAACCGTGGCTTATTGGTCCTTTGTTTCATTTTTCAAAGAGGGAAGAGGCAAGCAATTCAAGAAATACTCAAGATCAAGAGCGACACAGCTGCTTGAGTTGGCTTGATTCTCAAGAACCAAACTCTGTTGTGTACATTTGTTTCGGAAGTATGGCGAGGTTTTCTGATGCTCAGCTTACTGAAATCGCCTTGGCTCTTGAGACCTCGAATTCATCGTTTCTTTGGGTGGTAAGGAAGGGAGACGAACCCCAAGAAAGCTGGATGCCTTCTAGCTTCAAGGAAAAAATGCTTACAAACAAGAAATGTTTGATAGTCAGAGGATGGGTGCCACAGCTGAAGATCTTGAACCATCCAGCAACCGGGGTGTTCATGACTCATTGTGGCTGGAATTCCACCCTGGAATCTCTTACAGCCGGAGTGCCAATGCTGACATGGCCATTGTTCGCGGAGCAGTTCTACAATGAGAAGCTGGTGGAGGTTCTTGGATGTGGGGTCAGGGTCGGGGCAGAGGTGTGGCACAGTACTTTTGACATCAAGGATACGATTGTCAATAAAGAGAAGATAGAGGCGAGTTTGAAGACGTTGATGAACACCTCCGGGGAAAGTGAAATGATCAAAAGTAGAGCAAAAGACGTCGAAGCAATGATTAACAGGGCTGTGGAGAAAGGAGGTTCTTCTTATAATCATCTAACAACATTAATACAGGAGATCAAGTGTCATGCTTTTGGCATATCAGAAGAGTAGTAAGAAATTTAACATTCTGAGCTCTACTTATTTTTCCTAAAATTAGCGTCATGCCTCGCATGCATTACATAACACAAGAAAAGGTAAAACGAAATAACATGTTATGTTTCGAGCAATCTTTTCCCCAAACATCACTTGTGGAACTACATTGAGTATGTTGTTGTTTCAAGCAATCTTTTTATAGACAAAAAGCTCTTAAAGAGTGTTTCAAACAAAGGATCTACCAAATATGAAAATGAAGCTATGTGCATCTGTATAACTTGAGCTGGGAATAAAATTGACACATAGAAGAACTGGAACTCTTAAACCGAATAACCAAAGAATCGAATTAATTCGGTTCGATCCGATTTTTCTATTTTTTAGCGTTTCATGCCTAGCTCTAATGGAGTCCATGTTTCCCTGACATGAAAAATAATGTATTTTTTCATGTCAGGCTTTTTATAATAAATTTAATTGAACTGCTCTGCAGAAAGATAACATAGGGAGTACCACTCAGTGTACTGATTGAATATAATAATAATCCAAGATAAGATCCCTTGAAGAAACATACTTAGTATTTTAATGGCTTTTTCATGACTTTTTTAGGCTATCTGTAATATGTCTGAATCTAATATTAACTTAGTAACATTTTAAGTTGTTAAGTGAGTTCCCATCCCTTCTTCAAGTTCAGTCATGGCACAAAAAAATGGTGAAATACTTCATGTAATTTTCGTTCCACACTTCACACCAAGTCATATGATCCCTTTAGTTGATAGGGCTAGACTTTTTGCTAGTCATGGTGTTAAAGTTAGTATCATCACCACCCCCTACAACGCCATCCTTTTCGAGTCCTCAATCGATCATGCTACTGAATTAGGCCATGAAATATTCGTCCACAAACTCAAATTCCCATCAGCTGAAGTAGGCATACCTGAAGGGATCGAAAACTTCAGTGCTGCCACTAGCAAAGAAATGGCTATAGATGTATTTATGGGAATTCTTCTGCTTCAAAAACCAATGGAAAGTCTTATTTTCGAGCTTCGTCCTCATTGCATTGTTTCAGACATGTTTTTCCCGTGGACTGCGGATTTAGCAGAGCTATTGAAGATTCCTAGACTTGCGTTTTATCCGACTAATGTTATGTACCAGTGTGTTGACCATTGTTTGAAGTTGTATACACCTCATGAGAAGGTAAGTTCGGATTCAGAAAGTTTCTTGATTCCGGGTTTACCAGACCAGATAGAAATGAAAAGATCTCAATTGCCTGAAAATATTAAAACTAAATCTGAAGGACCATATTGGGAGCTGATGAAGAGAATTAAAGAATCAGAACCTCGGAGCTATGCTATGATTCACAACACCATCTATGATCTAGAGCCGAGTTATGCTGAGCTTTATCAAGAAATCAAAGGTAAAAAGCCGTGGCTTATTGGTCCTTTGTTTCATTTTTCAAAGAGGGAAGAGGCAAACAATTCAAGAAATACTCAACATCAAGAGCGACACAGCTGCTTGAGTTGGCTTGATTCTCAAGATCCAAACTCTGTTGTGTACATTTGTTTCGGAAGTATGGGGAGGTTCTCTGATGCTCAGCTTACTGAAATTGCCTTGGCTCTTGAGGCCTCGAATTCATCGTTTCTTTGGGTGGTAAGGTAGGGAGACGAACCCCAAGAAAGCTGGATGCCTTCTAGCTTCAAGGAAAAAATGCTTACAAACAAGAAATGTTTGACAGTCAGAGGATGGGTGCCACAGCTGATGATCTTGAACCATCCAGCAACCGGAGCGTTCATGACTCACTGTGGCTGGAACTCTACCCTGGAATCTCTTACAGCCGGAGTGCCAATGCTGACATGGCCATTGTTCGCGGAGCAGTTCTACAATGAGAAGCTGGTGGAGGTTCTTGGATGCGGAGTCAGGGTCGGGGCAGAGGTGCAGCACAGTACTTTTGACATCAAGGATACGATTGTCAATAAAGAGAAAATAGAGGCGAGTTTGAAGACGTTGATGAACACCTCCGGGGAAAGTGAAATGATCATAAGTAGAGCAAAAGACGTCGAAGCAATGATTAACAGGGCTGTGGAGAAAGGAGGTTCTTCTTATAATCATCTAAAGGCATTAATAGAGGAGCTCAAGTACCATGTTTTTGGCACCTCGAAAGAGTAACTGAAAACTTAATGCATTGAGCTCTCGTTATTTTTCCTACAATAAGCACCACGCCTCCTCGTGCATTACATGACAGAAGAAAAGGAAAAAAACAAAATAACATGTTATGTTTCAAGCAATCTTTTCCTCAGTCTCCACTTATGGGACTACACTGGGTATGTCGTTGTTGTTGCTTGAAGCGATCTTTTATAGACAAAAAACTCTTAAGAGTGTTTCAAACAAGGGATCCACCAAATAAGAAAATGAAACTAGGTGAATCTGTAAACAATGATTTCCCTTCTCTCAAATATAGCTTTGAGACAGCAAAATATGTGATAATACATGAAGAAAACTCACTTATCAAATGAGAAGTTTATTATGTTTTGTCCAGGTGCATTCTACAATCAGCAACTGAAAGATTGTTAGCACAAAAGAACAGAGCTTTCGTCTAATAAATCGCGAGTAAAAACTGAAATAATGGACCAACCGCGCTGAAAAAATGACAGTATGCATGTCACACACACAGACTATATTCATCGTCAAAACATAAAAAAGTACACACCAAATTAGCCACAGGCCCTATGCAGTGCTGCATAATTATATAGTTCGAAAGGCACAAATATCAAACAAGAGCTGTGATATTTTTGAGCTTAAACTATGACAACTGCATAAGTGTACAAGTAAACGTAATGTTGTCTATTCACTAACGCTTACCACTCTGCGGTACACATCATTTTTTGTACCCATGCTACACCTACTACAGAGTGATTGAATTTGTGTTTCTTAATTGGCTCATGAAAAGCAACATTATTTCAACTACTCACTTTAAACGTTTGATCCCTACCTCACTTTGTAGGACCACATGTTCGCTCAGTCACAATTTATGTGACACACATTTCCTTTTAGTCAGTCCCAACAAGAATAACACATTTCTATATTTAGTAACAATTGGGTGATTTACGGCCACACAAACATCTATTACATATTTAATTTTTTAAACTTCGTGTCAAATCAAACAACATCACATAAATTGAAACAGAGAGAGTAGTATTTTGCGTCCCACATCTCCCTTTCATGACTTCTCTACAAAAAGATAACTCAGGAGAACCATTCAACATATATTGATTGAACATAAAACTAAATCCAAATTAAGATTTGTTAAAGAAACATACCTTGCATTTTAATGTTTTTCTCATGATTTAACAAAACAAAACATGACTTCTTAGGTTATCTATGATATGTCTGAATCTAATATAAGGTTAGTAACATTTTCAGTTGTTTCTCACCCTACTTCTGCCATTCTTAGGTAAGCACTAATGGCACAAGAAAATAGTGAACTCTATGTAGTTTTTGTTCCATACTTTACACCAAGTCATATAATCCCCTTAGTTGATATAGCTAGACTTTTTGCTAGCCATGGAGTCAAAGTGAGCATTATAACCACACACTCTAATGCCCTCCTTTTCGAGTCCTCTATCAAGGATTCTGGCAACCAGATCTTCATCCACAAACTCAAGTTCCCATCTGAGGAAGTAGGCTTACCAGAAGGGATCGAAAACTTCACTGCAGTCACTGCCTCAGAAATGGCTATGTTATTTATGGGAATTGCTTTGCTTCAGAAACCAATTGAGGATCTTATTGTTGAGCTTCGTCCTCATTGCATTATTTCAGATGTGTGCCTTACATGGACGGTGGACGTAGCTGAGCAACTGAAGATACCTAGAGTTACATTTTATCCACATAATCTTATGTACCACTGTGTTGAACATTGTTTGAACGTGCATACACCTCATGAGAAGGTAAGTTCGGATTCAGAAAGTTTCTTGATTCCGGGTTTACCAGATCAGATTGAAATGAAAAGATCTCAATTGCCAGAGGGTATTAAAACCAAACCTGAAGGACCATTCTGGGAAATGATGAAGAGAATTAAAGAATCAGAACCTCGAAGCTATGCCGTGATTCATGACACTATCTATGACCTGGAGTCTACTTACGCTGAGCTTTACAAGGAAATCAAAGGTAAAGAACCATGGTTGATTGGTCCTTTGTTTCATTTTTCAAAGAGAGAAGAAGCAAGCAATTCAAGGAACACTTCAGTTCAAGAGCGACACAGCTGCCTAAGTTGGCTCGATTCTCAAGAACCAAACTCTGTTGTGTACATTTGTTTCGGAAGTATGGGCAGGTTTTCTGATGCTCAGCTCTATGAAATTGCCTTGGCTCTTGAGGCCTCAAATTCATCGTTTCTTTGGGTGGTAAAGAAGGGAGACAAACCCCAAGAAAATGAGCAAGAAAGCTGGATGCCTACTAGCTTTAAGGAAAAAATGCTTACAAACAAGAAAGGTTTGATAGTCAGAGGATGGGTGCCACAGCTGAAGATCTTGAACCATCCAGCAACTGGAGCGTTCATGACTCATTGTGGCTGGAACTCCACCCTAGAATCTCTTACAGTCGGAGTGCCAATGCTGACATGGCCCTTATTCGCGGAGCAGTTCTACAATGAGAAGCTGGTGGAGGTTCTTGGATGTGGGGTTAGAGTTGGGGCAGAGGTGTGCCACAGTACTTTTGACATCACGGATACAATTGTCAACAAGGAGAAGATAGAGGCGAGTGTGAAAATGTTGATGAACACCTCCAAGGAAAGTGAAAAGATCAGAAGTAGAGCAAAAGACGTCGAAACAATGATTAAGAGGGCTGTGGAAAAAGGAGGCTCTTCTTATAATCATCTAACTGCACTAATAGAGGAGCTAAAGTGCCATGTTTTTGGCACCTTGGAAGTGTAATTGAAAACTCAATGCACTAAGCACTCCTTAATCTTCCTACAATAAGCATCAATGAGGTTAACCTTGCTTGTATAATGTGTCACAAAGACAAGATAAACGAGATAATAAAATATAATCAATAGACTAATCACATTGTCAAAATAACAGATAGCATGCATGTTGCACACTGACTATACTCATTGTTCAATCATAAAGAAGATAAGCACCAAATTAGCCAAACGGCCACCATGTCAATGAGCACTAACAATGTCGCATAATTGTATAATTCATAACTAACTAATGTTAGACAAGAGCTGGATACTGCTTGGCCTGCTGTCTCACTCGTTTCTTGTACTCAGCACCATCCTGCAAAAGCAAGGTCACATATAGTAACGACAAGTTAAAATCAAAATCAAAATGCAAACTTAAATTTTTTTCCTGAAAAAGTTCAGTGAAGTACACATCAAGCTCGAGTAGTTACCTGCATGTATAGCTGAAAACCTTCTGTTTGTGCTGGATCACTGGGGTTTGGCTGATCAAGCAAATCTTGGATGCCCACCAAAATTTGTTTGACTGTAATGGCAGGCCTCCACCCCTAAACAAGAATATAACCAACGGAATAATCATAAGAATCATCTTGAAACCGATATAACAATTGACAATACTAACAAAGTAACAAAATAACAACGACAAGAACTTACACTGTCCTCATTGAGGATAGACAAACATATTGTTCCCGATGGATAGACATTAGGATGAAAGAAACCTTGAGGAAACTTGCACTTGGGTGGTTTGCTAGGAAAGTCTTCGCTGAAGTTCATTGTTATTGGATAGAAGCCACCTTCCCAGTCAGTCTGTACCATACCAGTTAAAATATCATATCACTATTGCTGACAAATATTAGAGGAAAGAACTGATGGAAGGGGAAAGCAGAGTTTCAACACTGTAAAGACTTGCAGAAGCCAGAATATGTTTCACATCAAACCGTAAAGGATTAAATGTAATAAAACTTTCCAAAAGTGTACAACATTTATTAGAGCATCGTTCAGAAACTCAAAGCATTTCAACAAAACATCCTTTCGCATGAAATGTGGAAAGAATATCCCATGATTATTTACGCAACTAACCTAGGAAACTAAAAGCATTTCAACAAAACATCCTGTCATTTTTATGCAATTTATATACACCAAAGCAATTAAAGTTCAAACCTTGTGATACTTTAAGAAAATGGACTTTTACATCCTCGCGAAGATCATATTCTTCTTACTCGATATATTAAATCCAGGGAGTCGTGCTTACCTTACAACGCTGTAAGGTTATAACTTTCTTTGTTTAGAAAATTGCGACAGAGTTCAAGGACTTGAGTGACTCTCAAAATGCAACACAAATTGCTTTTAGGTCCATAACTAACGACTATAAACTCTGAGAATAATTCAGTAAGATGAATTTTGTGAACACCTTCAATGGTTTTTCTTATAGATTTTTGTATCAAAGAGAGACACGGATACTTGATTGTAGTCTATTGGAAACAATTTCTCTACCTCACACAAGGACCTAAGCGCACTCTACTCTACCCCCAAACCCCACTTATTGGTCACGATGGGTATGTTGTTATTCCAAACATATAGTGTAATTTCTCAAGTCACAACTAATATAATAGAATACTTTCTATAATTGCTGTGTAAATATCCAAGTTGATGTGTCTAAGTATTAATTAGATTGCACAATCTTTTCTTCACAGTTCCTATAACATATAATCAATGAACACCCTCATGAACCTACGAATTAAAGTTAATTACAGTACAAAACCACTAATTTTCAACACCAAAGCAAGGAAAAATGATCAACAATAAGTTGCTAAAAGAAGTACACAAATTCTAGCCCAAAAATTCCATTCATGGACGAGAAATTTGCACCAAACCATTGAATATACATATTTATTTTTTTTATGACAAGGGAAACCCGCAGCCGCTACCCTTTGGGTGCGCACAGGGTAAAACCCCCGTTCCTATGCAATAGCTCACAAACCACATAGGAGAGGTAACCCGCACTAGGCAAGCCTGGTGCGACGAGCTCGACCCAGAAGGCAAACCCCTTGCTTTCGCTGGCAAGGGGTTTCGAACTTAAGACCTCCAACATGGAAGTCCCAAGCTCAAACCACTGAGCCACCCCGAAGGGTCATACATATGTTTTATACGCTTTTATCAATTATGAAAATTCATCATAAATTGACTAGTTTCACTATAGCTACCAACCTACCTCAACCCTACTCCTATCTAGATTTGGAACTAGGGTGGTAACTGGGCAGGTTGAGTCAAATTTGGGCAAGTCATATGTTAAGACAACAATTGGGTCAAAACTCAACTCAACCCAAATTTGCTTGGATCAAAATGGGTTAGTTAATGTGTTATATAACAGGTCAAGACCCAACTCAATCCCAATTTTTACTAAGCTTAATTGTTTTATTTGTACTTTTAAATTACTCTAGTATCTAATAAAATTATTATTTTTCTTTATTATGACTATATATAACATATCAAATTTTAAAAAAAAATTAAAATTATTTTTAAAAAATTTCTCCTGAGCCAATTTGACTTACATATAAATAATGGGTTGAGGTAATGAATGAGCGGGTCAATAACCCGTCCAAACTCAAACGGATTGGACAAGTTAGACGGGTTGGGTTTGATTTTGTCACCCCCTACTTGGAACAAACAATGTGAGCGACCTCACACAAGCGAACACTCTTTTATTAATTGTCATGATTAATTCATACATATATATATATATTCTAACTTCCCCAATTTCACTACTAATAAACCATCCATACAAAAATTACAAAACTTGAAATTAGTCATGAAAAGCAAGAAACTTTACTCACCTTGGCTTTTCCAGGGATAGAACAATGCCACACCATCAAATTGACAGACCCATCTGCACCAGTTTCCGGCCTAGCCACAAAACCCTAAAGAAAACAGAGAAGATACCCATCGAACCATTAAATCAACAGACCCTTAAAATCCATTAATGTGCATTGATAAAGCAAACAAAAAAGTACTTTTAGCCAAAAAAATAATAATCAGAAAGGGCAGAGAGAGTACATGTGGATGATTCTTCCGCCATGATTTGCGCTCCTCAGCAAGACGACCACGTGCGATTCCGTCAGACATTTTTTCCCCCTTTTTTGCTTTCTCTGATAATTTTGAACGATGAAATTAAGAATAGGCAAAAGAGGAAAATAAAAGGGTTTTTAAGTTTGTAATTGTCAGATGTAATCCTAGTTGGATTTGAATTTTGATAATCCAACATTAATTCAAATATTTATTCACAAAAAATAAAATAAAATTTATTCATCCTCAATTTATGTCAAATTAATTCAATTTATTATGATGATGTGATTTATGAAAACATTAATTTATCAAATTAATTCAATTTATTATGATTATATAATTTAATAAAATAAATATATTAACTAAGAGATAATTTAGAGATATGCCTCCATATTTAGCTTTATTATTCTAAGGAGTATCTTTTTTAGGAAATTTAATTGCTTTAAAAATTAGTAAAATAATATTGTCAATCTAAGTAGAGAAAAGAAGTTCTATAAGTGACATGCCAAGTAGATTATGTCCTTCATTCCCCTCCACTTCCCGTAGCCCCATACCTACGACATCATGCCTTCACTACTCAACCTCTACCTCTCATAATATTTATTCTGATTATATATAAATAATTTTAATTCAACTTTTTTTTACATACATATCGAACACACACAAAAAAAGAGTCAATTCACTTATTTAAAAAAATAACATTTTTCATGAAAAATATTATTCTTTGGATCGAACGCACTTTTACTGTCATGTATTGCTCTAGGCAATTCAGTAGATACCCTTTTTTGGTATTGGTGCCTTCTTTGTGATTATGCATCACTAAAATGTGCTTGCAAAACCTCATTTCCATATTAGTTGATCACTTTCTTTTTAATACAACGAAGATAACTATGTTCATCCTCTCTTTGATTGAATATAAATACATTTGACAGAGAGGATGAAAGCGTATTATATTCGTACAAATACAAATACAATTGAAGGAAGAGAGGGGAAGGGTACACAGAGAGAGGAGAGGGCAAGAGAGAGGTAAGGGAGGGAGGGAAAAAGTTTATTATAAAAAGGGAAAAGGGTCAAAAATGCCCTTAAACTATGTGAAAGGAACAAAAATGCCCTTCATTTATAGTTTGGCTCAAAAATGCCCTTAGCGTTAATACTTTGGTTCAAAAATGCCCTTAAACTATGTGAAAGGAACAAAAATGCCATCCCTTTATAGTTTGGCTCAAAAATGCCCTTACCGTCAATACTTTGGTCCAGAAATGCCCCTATAGTTACAAAATGGGTCAAAAATGCCCTCTTCCGAATAAATATATATTTTTTCTTTTTAAACACATCTTCGTCCTAATTAAAATATTATTGAAGAACACTATTCTTATTTTCTTTCTTCTAATATCACTTTAACAAATAAAAAGGTAGGAAATATTTTTTTTCTTCTTAATCTCATTTTATCAATTAAAATAGAATAACGTCATGTACCCTTTGGACATATAATATATGTCATATATAAGATTATAGTATATCCATCATTAATTTATATTTATATAACGATAAAAAATAAGAAATATTTTCATTTTTTATTTTTTTCTAAATTGAAGTAGGATAAACATTTGCTAATTTAAAAAAAAAAACATTATTAGAAAAGAATGTGTTAAAAAAAATATTTATTTGAAAAATGAGCATATTTTACCCATTAAATAACAATAAGGGCAATTTTGGACCAAAATATTAACGGTAAGGGCATTTTTGGACCAAACTACAAACGGATGACATTTTTGTTCCTTTCATATAGTTTAAGGGCATTTTTGAACCAAAGTATTAACGCTAAGGGCATTTTTGAGCCAAACTATAAACGGAGGGCATTTTTGTTCCTTTCACATAGTTTAAGGGCATTTTTGACCCTTTTCCCTTATAAAAATAACATATTAGTACTTTTTTTTAGAATATTTTTAAAATTATTTTTCATAAATAAATTGTTAATTTTGTCTAGTTTCATTATTTTTTCTTAATGGACGTGATAAACGGGCCAAAAAATTATTTTGGACTGTTTCACTGTAATTTTGGATGAATGGGACCCATATCTCATGTTTACAAGTTGCTTGGGTCAAAAGATGACATGGATATTTCGAGATTATGTTTATGTATTTTCATCGTTTCAATATGTTTGTTCTATTTTTTTTTTGTCTATTTCAAAAAAATATTCTCATTAAGAAGATAGAAAATATCGTATGGAACCAATTTATATTGCTTTTCCACTCCAGTGATCATTCATTTTTTTTTATCACTTTTGTGTACACATTGAACAACAGTCCTTTCGAAGGTTTCCTAGGGATCGATTTGTCGGGTAGATAAGCGAGATAGAAGACTCATTGTTTGTGGTGTTGCAATGAATTCATTGGATGATAATAGCTTATAATGATTTTCTTTCTACTTTCTCCTCTATCTAAGTGTCAAATTTTAGTTTATAAGTTGATTTTGTTTATCCAATCAAAAAAGGTTTACTTAGTAAACGTTTAAAGTGAACCACATGTTTTCGTATATCAAATAAAAGTGAAAATAAATTTTTTATTTAGTGTACACATAAAAGTGAAAGGAAGGTCATACTAATTATGGCATCACACAGCTCAACTCTCACCATATCTCTAATGCTCATCTTCTCCACTTTATCCTATATTTATCGTCGAATCGACGATGAAGTCGCGGCATTGTACGAGTCGTGGCTAATTAAGCACGAAAAATCGTACAATGCCTTAGACGAAAAGGACAACAGATTTCAGATCTTTAAAGATAACTTGAAATACATAGATGAACATAATTCTGTTCTGAATCAGAGTTATAAGCTAGGATTAACGAAATTCACCGATCTGACTAATGAGGAGTACAAGTTGATTTACTTGGGTGCTAAAAGTTCCGGTGACCGGAGAAAGTTGTTGAAGAACAAAAACGATCGGTATCTTCCTAAAGTTGGGGATAACTTGCCGGAATCAGTTGACTTGAGAAAAAGTGTTATTGTTGATGTTAAGGATGAAGAAAAAGTGTTATTGTTGATGTTAAGGATGAAGGAGATTGTGGTAAGTTAATTAAATGTTACTCTTTTTCATAAAGAGACTGATTTATTTTACTACACGCAAATGTACGTGGTTATACAAATAATAAAATGACTCGAAGAGTTGGACATTAAACTCACAAGAATTTGTAATTTAGCAAGAATCTAGTTAGATCCGACATCAATTTTGACCGAAAGACTGTTTCTGACAAATGTTTTCGACTCAAGAAAAAAAAAATTCAAAGCAGATAAAAAATAATAATAGAAGTGAAGATATGCTATGAGTTATGACAAAATATTATAGAAAACATTCATGAAAAGAAAAAAACAACGGTAATTAAGATAAAATTGTGGTGTAATTGAAGTACAAGATATAGTAAATAATATACTTATATAAATAGTAAATAATAATACAGTAGAATCTCTCTAAATTAATAAGCTCTATAAGATAATATTTTTCTTTAGTCCCGATTGAAGCTAGTGGAAAAAATCACTGATTTCGATATCATAATTAGATCATATCCTTACATAGATCAAGCTCTCTGGCTAGAACTTCCAAATCACAGGTTGAGATCGTAACTCAATCTAAATACATATATTTTCGAAAGGCGCCTATATAAAAATATGGTCTCATCACTATTATAAATTGATAATTCTTTAAATTTATAAAAATATCTAAGACAATTCAGTGAAATATGATTCTAGTGTTTTTTTGTATTTTGTTAAAATTTAAATTTAGTTGAAACTCATCTCTAACTTTTCTCATTCAAAAGTTTCGGTGTTGTCTTCTTGAATTGCACCAAAAAATTGTGAAGACGCGATAAGTGTTTCCTTACGCATAGTTGGTTCTGACGATATTGTAATATCGTCAACTTCATCAACAACATTATTTTCTTTATTGGTGTCCACAATTTTTTCGAAGCTCTGGACCTCTGAATATGTATCATTTTTCACTCGGGTAATCCAACATGATATTGACATCCATTTTATTGCCGTAATCGAGATCATTAGTCATGACCTCGAGTTCATAAATGTCGTTTTTACCAATGGATTCATTGAAATTCCTTGAGGCTTCATCCTTCGAACAATGTAATCAAATTAACCTTTATTGAAAGTTCACATACTCTTTAAATTGATAAATCTTAATTAATCGATTAAATAATTTCTCTACAAAATATTAATTGGAAAACTAATTTGTTCTAAAATGTTTTAACATCTTTCTAAATATATACGGTATATAAAAAAGTTGTCACCCGCAGCCTCTTTGGTTTTGTTCTCTTGTAGTCCGTCCTCTAATAGACTTTGGAAAAAAAAATCAAGACAAGTATTGAAAACATCGTTAAATTTATCATAAATTTATTAGTTTTGTCCTCGAATTATTGGCAGTCTTAAGAACAACTCTATAGTTAACTAACTAAATTCAAATTCACCCCGTTCTGTCAAATGACATAGCAAGTAGTCTCATACTCTTATAAGATTATGAAACTCTTAATAAAGCTCGAAAAAAGAATTAAAAATACTCCTAAACTTCACAAAAATTCAAGAGTGTATTTCACTTATGTTTCAAGATTGGAGGTATTTAAGTTCAGTTAGTTAAGCAAAGTGTAATGTTGTAACCCTAAGTCATTTGGTAGATGGATAAAAAATAAGTTATACATATACATATATATATATATATATATATATATATTACTTTTTGTATAACTTATACAACATTATCTGATAGATAGATAAGAAATAAGTTATTTGGTAGTATAAAATTAATATAATGTTTGGTTAGTTGACAATTTTGAAACTTGCATGACTAATAAATATATAAGTTTTGAAGAAATTAATCCTGCATAAAATAATACGTGTCAACATTACTAATACTTGCATAACTCTAACCAGCTATCAACTCGATGAAATGAACCAGGGTGTTGTTGGGCATTCTGTGCCGTTGCTTCCATTGAATCAATAAACGCAATAGTAACCGGGGATTTGATATCACTATCTGAGCAAGAGTTGGTGGATTTGTGATACGTCGCTCAATAATGGTTCCTTTTCATAAATATGTGATTCTACTATTCGACTAGTAAAATGAATTCAATAATTCTTCTGCAAACAATGTGTTTGATTAAATTCTTTAATAACTCGTGTATTTACCCCCAAATTAAAGTTGAATGTGTTTTTCTATTAATATATATTTATGAGAGAAGGGTTAAAAATATTCTGAACTTGGTGCAAATTATTATTGACATAATACATAAACATGACATTTAACTTGACTTCGACAGACAACTATGCCTTCCAACTTTGAGTGTGTACGACATTTAAACTTGTATAAAATTAAACAAGTAAACACACTTGTCATACATGACATAATACACGTAAGACACAAAATTGACATGGATGACAAATGTGTCTATTTATTCAATTTTTTGCAAGTTTAAGTCTATTTGTGTACACCCAAAGTTAAAAGTCATAGTTGTCAGCTGAAGCCAAGTTAAGGGTCATGTTTATGTATTATGTCATTATTAGTTTCGTTCGTGAACTATTGACAGTCTTAAAAATACTCTTCTACTTGACTAACTAAACTTTGATATATACTCGATCATATCCATGATCTGCCACATGACATAGCAAGTGGTATCAAACTCTCATATGACATATGGCTCATAATAAAAAGTCGAGTGAAGTGTTGAAAACACCCCTAAATTTGGTGAGAATTTAGGGGTGTATTTAAATTCAGTTAGTCAAATAAAAGGACGTTTTTAAGGTTGTCAATAGTTCGGAAATAAAACTAATAATTTACGCCTAATTTAAAGGTGTTGTCAATACTTCTCTATATTAAATTATATATATAATTATATATAGAAATTAAGAAGAAAAAAAAGAATTATACAGTGAAAAATCGAATCGATACTAACAAAAGAATAATTTGAAGTATCAACATTTGATTGTGATTTGTGAGGGTCCTATGATTTTACACAATTTCACACTTTCTACATGTTTCTTGATATGAAGTGATATTATTTAGTTGTTTAGCATGCTTTACAACTTTGTTAGTTTTCAATAGCTATTTGTATTTTCTTGTGATATATGTTTAGATGTTTAACATGCATTATCACTCAGTTATTAAGCTCACACTAGTCAATTATCAATTCTATTTAGTTTGATTTCATAACATCTAATTTTATATCATGATTTCGTATCGTATGTTCAAATATATCTTTATTAAATTTGTTATCGGTTAATATCAATATAATTGTGGTCCACGTCCCATCCAAGACTAGCCCATTCTCAAAAGAATTAAGTTAACTGCGGTCCATGTTATGAATTTAATAAGACTTAAAAGTGGAGCTTTAAACATTGTGTTTGGTATGGAGAAAAATATAATTAAATTCATGTTTGGTTAACTAAAGTATTTATTTTTAAAAAAAATAAGGTTTTAAAAACTTAGAACAATGAAATGATCGCTTTTCTACTGAAAAAAATAGGAAAAATAAACTCTTTAAGTTATACGTGATATTGTTGATAGATGCAATTCAATTATATTTTGATGACAACTCCACGTGATATTACGCATAATTTGATATAACAAGATTGCTACCAAGCATATAGAAGTAGACAAATTTCTACATGTGGAATGATAATCTATTTAAATTAGGGAAAAAGTACAAATATACCCTCGAACTATCGCAAATGGTATCTAAATACCCTCCGTTATACTTTTAGAACTCTGATGCCCCTACCGTCTAATTTTTGGAGTGTGTATACCCTTTGGATTAACGGAGGGACACGTGTCACGATCTTAACAATCTATCCAAAATTTATTTAATTTTTATCTTCAATTAAAAAACTGACCCGAATAATAAAAAGAACCACCCGAATAATTTTAGACCCACATCGAAATTATAACCAAAACCCCAATAGACCATCTTCTCTAATCTTTTCCTTTCTAACAGAGAATCCATTAGATATTTTCTTTTGTTCTTTAGTTAAATCTCATTTTATATACTCCAATTTAAGATATTCTCATCAACACAACATTTAGTAAGATTCACTAACTTTTTTTTTAACAGAATAAAGGACAGAAACAAAGTTGGAAACTCATCCATACAGCACTTTGGGTGGTTTTCAGTTTGATGAAATTGAGTTTGGTTTTTCTGATGTTAAAGGCAATTTTCCATCTTTTTTTCTTCTTGCTTACCCATAAATCTTTTTTTTTGTGGTACATTTTGGAATCTAAGAATATTCTCATGCCACAGATTAGCTATGGGTTACGGAGTATCTTCTTGACCTCCATTGTTGAAGCTCTGTAAAGAGAGCTAGAGGTATGTTTGTTCCCTATCCTCCCATATTTTTCTTGTCTGATTTATGACTGATTTTATTTTATATTTCTCATTGTAGTGTGATTATTGAATGTATTGTTGATTTTTGGATTTTCACAGATCTCTTTTCTTGGCTTTCAGTCCTACAATTTTCATTTTTCAAAGTTTCAGCTATGTAAAAAATTTATTGAGTTTGGCGACTATAAATCCATTCCATGGTCACTGGCTTGGTTCGCCGGAGCTGTTGGAGCAACGGTGAGGGAGAGATGGGTGAGTGGTGGTCAGGTTTCATGGTGGATTAAGAGTCACTACCCCGTTGATTTCGCTGGAGCGAGGGAGGTTAGGTTCGATAGCAGTTAGAGATGGTTTCGTATCTGGAGCTTCGCCGGAGAAGATGGAGTTGTTGCAGTTCTTTGTGTGACTGGTTCTTGGACTAGAAAAGAAAGGAAAAATTAGATTTATTTCGGTGCGGGTCAAAAATTATTTGGGTGGGTTTTTTGTTATTTGGGTCAATTTTTTTAATTGGATGTAAAAATTAAATAAATTTTGAATAGGTTGTTAAGATCGTGACACATGTCCCTCCGTTAGTCCAAAGGGTATACACGTTCCAAAAATTAGACGGTAGGGGCATCAGAGTTCTAAAAGTATAACGGAGGGTATTTAGATACCATTTACGGTAGTTCGAGGATATATTTGTCCTTTTTCCCTTTAAACTATGACTATAGTAAATAATTTCATAAAATAAATTTGCTTAATCGCATAAATTTTTTATTTATTAACCTAGCACATGTAACATGTTTTATTATTTAATATTCCCTCTCCTTTTTTTATACCAAACAAGCAAGCACACCCTTAAATGGGGCCATTTTTTCACATGTTACACCTCAATGAAGTGGGACTAGTTTGTATTTACCTAGAGTAGTAGGTAAATGATAATTGCTTTGCATGCTTAATTTTTTGTATGTCAAAAATATTTTTGTTACTTATAGGTCATTCATTTGAAATCTCACTTATGAAATTAAATGAAAAAATATATTTTATTAGACATATATCTATATTATAATATATTAATTTTATCTATATTTCAAAATAATTACGTATTTTATTATTAATTAAGAGTTTTCTATCAAATAAAGCGGAATAAAAACCTAGATACATGCATTTTTGTTATCAAATACACTAAAAAAGATATGTGAGCGAGATAGTCATGTATCTCAGATGCATGTGAATCACTCCAAAATACACACTAGGTACATGTATTTATATGTACCTAGTGTAATTCACATATATCTGGGATAACAGATACACATGAGAGTGACGAGCGAGATTGTTATGTATCTCAAATACATGTGGATTCAATTGGATACAGTCTAGAAGTCATTACACTTAATTTTGACCTCATATATATCTCGAGATATATGTATCTGAACATGGACGCACCAAAATCTGATAAGATTCATAATATTACAAACTAGTGTATATCTAAGTAATTAACTCCTACACTAATGAAATTTGTATTAGTTTCCCAAATTATGTTGATACATTGATGTTGTAGCAACTAGATGATAAAGGACAAGGAACCCCATGCTCCATACTCTATAATTCTAAAAGATTAGGAGATGGGCATCAGAGATGAGAAGTAGAGACTTTTCAACACGAAAGCATCAAATCCAAGCCCAAAGATAAGTGCATTGATAGGCTGACAGATTCATAAAATTGATTTGGACGGTTTAACTTTAGTTTTGGATGAATGGGACCCATATCCCATGTTTACAATTTGTTAGGGGTTACTTGGTTCACATAGATAAGGTTTTTTGAGATTAAATTATGTATTTCGTTCATTTAATTTGTTTGTTTAACTTCTTCTTTTTTTAGTTTTTATCAAAAGAAATATCTCTTTTCTTGTGGATAGAAAACGTAGTATGAAATTAGGGTGTGTTTGGTATGAAGGAAAATGTTTTCCTAGAAAATGTTTTCTTGGAAAATAAGTTGATTTTTGACTTATTTTCTTATGTTTGGTTGGTGAGTAGAAAATATTTTCCGAAAAAGATTTTTAGTGTTTGTTTATGAATGAAAAATGTTTTTGAAAATTTTCTTTTATTTTTATTAGAGTAGAAAATAATTACTGAAATTGAAAATATTTTTTAAAAACAAACTTAATTTTTTTTTGGGGTGGGGGCTGGTAGGGGGTGGGGGTGCGGGGGTTGGTAGGCGTGGGTGGGTGGGTGGGGGGTGGGGGGGTCGAGGGTAGGGGTGGAAAAAATGAAATTTTGAAATCGAAAATATTTTTAAAAAACAAACTTAAAATTTTTTTTGGGGGTGGGGGGGGGGGTTGGTAGGCGTGGGTGGGTGGGTGGGTGGGGGGTCGAGGGTAGGGTCGGAAAAAATGAAATTTTGAAGTCGAAAATATTTTTTAAAAACAAACTTAAAATTTTTTTTGGGGGTGGGGGGGCTGGTAGGGCGGGGGGGGGGGGGACGAGGGTAGGAGGTGGGGGTGTAAAAAAATAAAAATTTGAAATTAGAAATATCTTTTAAAAACAACTTTTAATATTTTTTTGGGAGGGGTGGTGGTAGGGGGTGGGGGTAGGGGTGAGGGTGGGGTAAAAATATTGAATTTAAAAACAAACTTTAAATTATTTTTTTTGGGGGTTGGTTGGGGGGGCTGATTTGAGGGTAGGGACCAAATAAATTGATTTTTTCAACAATTTTTTTTTAATTGGAAGTTGGAAGAGAGTTTTGGAAAATGTTTTCCTTAAGTTTTGAAGGGAAGTCATTTTCCTTAAATTTGAGGAAAATGAGTTGATTTGGAAAACATTTTCCAAAACATTTAACCCAACCAAACATGAGAAAATTGGAAAACAGAAAATGTTTTCCTTCATACCAAACACACCCTTAATTTTTATCGCTATTCCTCCTCTAGTGGTCATTCATTCTTTTGATCATTTTCGTGTACCCATTAGATGGAAGCCTTTTTGGGGGTTTCTTAGGGATTGATTCACCGGGAAAGTAAATGAGACGAAAGTCTCATTGTTTATAGTGTTGCTGTATTTATTGGTTGATATTAGCGTATAGAGAATTTTTTTTCTATTTTCTTCTTTATCTAAGTATCAAGTATTAGTTCAATGGTGGTTATTTTATTTTTTCCTAAGAGATGCCATCTGCATCTTTTTTTATTATAATCACGATCCATGTTTTCCTCGATTAAAGCCAACGGAGGGCCAAACTCCAAAGTCATCAAAGCAAGAGGCCTGGTCTACTCAGCAAACGTACAAAGTGGATCGCAATTTGGTTGTTGAAAATAAATTTATTTATCCAACCAAGAAAGATATGCGAATTGAACATTTTGACATATTTTACATATTTTATTTTAAATTTAAGATTACAAGATTCAAAATTTTACTTTACTTTTTAAAATTTAGTATCAAATTAAAACAGAATAATTCAATTGAAACAGAAGGAGCACTTTGTTTGATTAAAGATAAAATAGTCTTATTTTGTCTAGGACTGGACATAAAATACTGAAAATCGAATTATTGAATCAAATAAAATATTTTGATAATTTGGTACTTGGGTATTCGGTATGGTATTCAGGAGTAAAATTATAGAATAATGGTATTCGGGTAATTTGGATTTGATATGAGACATTAGTACCATTTGATATTTGGTATTTCCCGAATACCGAATTATTTACTTAATAAAAATCATGTATCAACATGTTCATTACTCATTAATACAAGTCCAAAGAAAAAAGTAGAATGAACATAAACAACCCAAATATATGTCTTTTAGTTGTATCAATTTATTTTTCTTGATATCTTCTTACTTATTGATCTTCTATTATATCGTGTATCCACATAAATTTTTTTTAGAAATGATTGGAAAAATAGTAATTAACTTTGGAATACAATCGGCAACAACTTCAATACGGTCTAACAGAATACCATACCAAACCAAAATTTAATTTACCGATTACTGAACCAAAATTTAAAATTTTGATATTTGATATCTACTTTTAACTATCAATTACCGAATTAAAACCTGAAATTTAATAATTTCGAACTGAATACCGAACGTCCACCCCTAATTTTGTCCCAATTTAAACTATAATCTAAGAATTAACTTCGCCCATGAACTAAACAACCCTCTTATTACTTAACATATTGCTCCCAGCTCCCTACGTTAGCAAAAATATTTATATCCCAAAAAAGTGTTATCTTACAAAATCAAGATAAAATTAGAGTATATTTTTCAGTTATACCTTATTTTTTCATCTTCATGTTGATGTTTAATTTTAAAGAGAATTTTAATTAATATATATATAATTTTAGTAAATTATATATTATATTTATTAATTTCTAATAAACGTAATATTTGCAGCTAACACTTATTTTAAATTTTTGTGAATCTTATCTGCCCAAAGACAAAATAATTTTGAATCTATGATGAGAAATTTATTTACGTGGACTTTTTACACCCAAATATAGATAAGCTGCTATGCCTAATAAATCAAACGGTAGGTGGTCTATATTTTGCTTCATTGAATACAAGATATGCTTCGATTTATGGATTAAATTATTTCGAAATTATAATCTTGATCGAATATGTATTGAAGTTTTATAAAATTAAAATGTTTTTAAATAAAGACGGTTTTATATTTAGAGGGATTCATTTTTGAGATCTTTCGATTAAGGATGAAATAATATTTATTACTCTATCACAATCCTCGTTGTTTTTAAATTAAATTGAATCGTTAATCATATTATATTTTTTCAAGGATGTATCAGATCGATATAAGTTAAATAATATGAAATGGATGAAGAGTGTTTAAATTGTGAAATTGAATAACCCCTTTATATCATTGTCAAAATACAACCAAATTCATTAAATGGACCACACATGAATAGACAGATGAAGTGAACGTATTATTACTAATTTACTATATTGTTTTTTTTTTTTTTTTTGCTAATTAGAACCTTTACTTAACTTTCTCTTTTCTTCACCAGCCACTTTCAATTTACAACTGTTTGGTTTTTAGATTAATTTTCTAATTTATTATTTGTCTTTTTCAAGTTTTAGTTTATTTGGGAAGTTATTGAGTGCACGATTTAAGGACCTTTGAGGGAGCAGTAGAGGAAGATACTTCATATATATCACCTAATATCCAATACCAATATTTCCATTTTTGAGTTTTATATTGAAATATTATGTGTACGATATTTCTTTTATCTGGAATATCATCAAATGTTTATAGAACCGTATTGTAGTTATCAATTGTTCATTTTTTCTATCTGAACAATGGTGATATTTCAACCTAGGAAAAGTAAATATTCGTTGGGATGTATTTCGATAAATATTTGATG